TAACGTTGTCCCATAAAACAACTAAGCTTTTGCGGCAGCAGAAGCAGAAAAATCGTTGCCAAGTTGCCAACTATTAATACGTTCATTAATCTTTCGTTCCGAGGGGACACGACGAATGTGCCGGTTTCCTAGCAACTGGTATCTCTCTTTCATTTTTGCAGCATACGCGGATCTTTACGAGTATTTTACTCGCTGACGATTTTCGATGACCGTTTCTCCGTGCTGGCTGTTCGATGACGAACGTATTTACGCAACGTATTCCCGTCTTGTCAAACAGGAATACGCTTCCCATTGTGTTCTTTCTCCGGATTGCTTGTTCGACAAACAGCGGGAATCCGTTCACAGGAATCGATACCGTATGGTTTTGCCTTTCCATTCCAACGATAATCATCGTTCCTGTCGAATATCCTCGATGACGCATCGATGCGTCTTGTTTCGACGAACCAATGTTTCACGATCTAACGATTAACTAATTAATCGCGACGGTAAGTGCTGTAAATTTTACGGACGACCAAACGTAACGCATCGCATCCAGTTAGCAGAATTACAACCGTTTCTCGTTCCTTCGCCTTTTAGCACACTCGAACGCATCTACCGATTCATTCGATCGCATTTATCGATCCGTCTCTTTGATTATTGCCTGGTCGGGCTCGTTAATAGAAAATTACAAGGCGACGCAACTACGCGTTAAACCCTTTCGATATCAGCTTCGAAGATCAAACGCGATACGCGATCGCTGATTATACTGTCTCCTCGGTATCGTCGCCGTTAACGAGATACATCGGTAAACATTTTGCGTTTTCCGAAACGAAGAATATTTCGAACCGATAGTCAGCAGCTCGATCGTCGATGATCTGGCGTATCTCTGACAGCGCGCGTATACCATTGTTCGCGAGTATAATTGAAACTGGTCGTTTAGCGCACCTTCGCTTCATCGTTAAATATGCAAATGACTGTGTAAGATCCGATGCAGCGTGATGCGACAACGCGTGTTTCTTTCGTACGTTTCGCTTTGTCCGCGAACGGTGAACGTTCGAGCAACACGTTTTGCACGTGGTACATTTCCCAGAGAACCAGCGAACGAACGAAACTGCGAAGACTTTTGAAAATCAAATTTACAGATGCTCGACGAGACTCGGCGAAAATGAGAGTTAATAGACAGACGAATCCGAAAACAGCTTGATTCGAGAGTATTTGAAGGGAAATTTGATGAATCTGTTGGCTGCTTTTGATTTTTGAAGCGCGATCGTTTCGCTTTGCGCGACGGTTCGTAGAACCGTTTCGCCTGCCAACGACAACGACAGCAACGAAGCAGCAGAGAACGGCTGCTAGTTATATCCATGAACAGGTGTAGGTGGTATGAAGCGCGAATATACGCGTCTCATCCGTATTTTACACTACGCTCGTCCGCTTTAGTGGAGCACGTTACGAGCATTAAGGTGAGACGGTTGACGCAGCGCGGCTACTACAAATAGCCCCCGATTTTTTCCTACCGAATATAACATGGCGCGTGCGATGCACCGGTAATGTTCGCTAACTTTTATACGCATGCTCGGTTTTAGTGTCGACCCCATCGCAGAAAATGGCGATGACATCATATAAAAACTCGCAGAACCGCGAATCTACGAGTTCGACGTTACGATCGCATCTCGTTCGCGGATAATCCGTCATCTACGAGGTAAATTACGCTTTCAGCTATTCCCTTTTACACGGGAATTACGTAAATCGAATACTCGATGTCTGTCTCTACTAATATTATTTCATTACCTAATGGTACGTTAAATAAATTGCTCGATCGATAATTATTGTCTTCGCTACGTGAATATACGGAATTTCAGAATTACGATGGCATCACTTCGTGACGATGAGTATTTTCTGTTTTTTCTTTTTTTTTCCTCTCTCTCTCTCTCTCTCTCTCTCTCTCTCTCTCTCTCTCTCTCGTTTTAGTAATCACGTAAGCGGGCGAGAAGTAGATGATACGTTCGAATAGTAGACAGCCCCTCGTCTCGGCGACATTTTTCTTCAAAATGATACGCGGTACACGAGAAGCCTTCCTAACGGACGTAAAGGGATTCGCTGTCGTTAAGCAAAGACAATAGACTTTTCTCTCGCTCATGATTGAGTAAACTAAGGAACTGTAATTTTCACATTCTCGGATATATTAACCGCGCTCCGTTTATCTTTCCGCCGACTTGGTTGGGCCGCGATAATGGATGGAGAAAGAAGCTTTGCGGAATTACGAGAATCCATTTTCGGTGGACGGAGAAGGAGTAGCTACGACAGAAGGAAGAGAAAATTTGCGGCGAATACACACAGAGGCAGATACTAAACGTCGACGAACCAGACCTTTCGCGATCCGAGGATCGGTCAAAACTAAAGGGTCAAAAAGTTTCGCATGCGCCGTTAACGCTTTCATCGCCGCGAGCCTGTGGTATTTGTTTTGTACAACTTTTGTTGCTTCGGGGTAGCTGTGACGCTCAACTGGAAGCGAGAGAACGGCGAGAGGAGGATTTCATAAGGGCAACGCACCGACGACGTGTCGCCTCTTTCGCAGTTTTTAATTTTGCCGCATCGATGGCGTGAAATTTATCCCTCGAGGATGATCGTAACCTCGGCAACAACGAAACTCCTTCCAAACCGTGTTTTAACAACTTTAAAATTTGATTTCGTACTGCGAACGAGATGACTTTGATCGCTAATACTGGTTTGCGTGTTCGATGAAGACACGGTGCGTTTGCGAGGACTTTGAGCGACGATAGAATCGATAGCGAATCGATGCTATTCGCGCAACAGCGTGAATATATGATGAATACAATTCGGAGAAAGGTCAATTTACACGGTGAAGACTGACGTACACGCAGGCCAGAGATTGCAGTAGCTAGAACATGGAGTAGCTAAGTTGGAAGTTCGATCTTACGATTGGCAAACTGCAACATTCGTCGAGCCTGTCGTTCCATGTTTCATCCTTCTTTAGCCGCGTTCGAGCGAGTTTGAGAGCTTTGCCTGAGCCGAGCTTAAATAAGCAAACTGTCGCGTAGGAAAGCTGGAGTGGCGTTTCACCGCTTTCTCTTGTCTATGCTGTAAAACTTTTTGCCAGCTGAATTCTCTATCAGCCTAAACCTAACCCTGTGGAATCGCGGGCAACGCTGCATTCGCTTCCTGCTACTGCGGTTCCCGGAACGTTTCGCTTATTTCGCTTATTTTCCACTGAAATAAAGCTCGCCAACTTGCTTTGCCGCGTCTGTTGATCTTCCGACTCTACGATTCCTGAAATATCATCCATCCTCCTACGCGTATCTACCGTCTACCGTAAACATTTAATAATTTTCTTCGAGCAAGTTTGAGACGTCGCCACGAGCGTGCGATTCAACCGAACCACCGTCAGCGTCGTTTGCTAAAATAAACTTGAGGTAGATGGCGAACTACCGGAACGTTTCCCTTCGGATCAGCAGGAATGATTATCGTGGCTAAGTTGATAACTCGACGGTACCTTCGGTTAAACGACGCGAGTGTAACCGAGAGAGAGGAGATTAATGATCGATTATCGGTGATCGGAAAAATGGCGAGAGATTCGCGGAAAAATCTTAATTCAATAACTTCATGAGGCCCGAGGGGTCGTGGTAGAGCTCTTGGGCGACATCGTTCGGCCATTGTGGTAGATGTGCTTCCGCGGAACCGGAAACTCGACCCCTGCGGTAAGATTTGTACGGTACTTCAGCCTGGTCTTCGGCTCTAAGTGTACTTCCTTGTATACCGTGGGGCTAAGCTGACGGCATCAAGTCGTTCTGTACGCTCGTGCAAATACTCTTCCAGCTATCCGACGAACCTTGGTCGAATTATTTTACCAGGTGGTATGATTTCAAATATTCAACGATAATTGCTGTTCCAACGATAAGAACACGTCGTATCTAGTAAATTTGGTTAGAGTCCATTACGACGACAATAGTCATCATTCTACGATGCTTTGGTTTTAACGACTTGTCGAATAACGATACGTTGTTCTTTATAGTCTTTCAAACGGAATAACGAGTCATTTTCTATATACGCAGCAACGAAAACGAAGTAAACGAAAATCGATCGGAGAATATTTGTCAAAATTCTTATGCAACCGAACTGCAACGTACATCAGCCATCTACAACGTGACGTTTTGCCTGAATGTTTGAACATCTTGCAAACACATTTATATGTGTATATATATATACACAAGCGTCTATTATTAATTGCAACCTCGTGTTCTATGTAACGTTAAACAAGAGACAGAATCAAATATGTATGTATGTATCAAATATGTAAATATGTATAGAACCATCGGTTTTGCGCCTGAAATTCGAAATTAGTTGTTTCACCAACACAAAACATCGCGCATACCGAGAAGTCTGAAGTCTGCTAATTGAATAAAAATGGCAATAACGCGAAGGGTTTGATCTATCCACGATCGGAGAGAATTCCAAAGCAAAAGTTTATCGTGGCTCGAGTCGGAATTTCGCTAAAGTTTAGTTACGCGTATTGAAATCGAATCGATTTATTTAACCCGCATTGCTGGTTCGGTCAGTGTTATCGCATCGATTCTGCGGAGGAATCGCGTTAAAGCAACGGCCGTGATACTTAAGCTCTTGCCGCTCGCTAAGCCCCTTTTGTTAGGGATTACGGACTCGTTAAACGGCCCGGCCGGCCTCTACGTTCTGTGCAAAGTATCGCGCCGTTCGAAATACCTCGAATTATTCAACGTTGGTCAGTGGCCGGTCAGCGGTAACAAACAAAGCTGTATAATTAGTAGTACATTCGCGCGTACGCGCGTCCCTCCACGTTATACTTCTCCGACGGTGAAACTGCTGACAAGGGATGCGTATAAACGATAACGGAATATTCAAAGGATACTCGGTCCTTATCGCACTTACATAGAGTGAGTTCAATGCTGGAAGCGACGAACCAGCGTACGATTGTGAGTCCACGGTACGACACAGACATTTACACTCGGTCGTACGACGATGGTACGTATTTCGCGAGTTACACAGCGGTCGTAATGAGCTCGCAACGCTGACACACATAGATATCGCGTTTGTTAGAAGTACGTACGAACGAAAAGGTCTCTTGGAGAATGTTTTTCTGTGAGCGCGTCTCGCACGATGCTCGATTGAGAAACGCATGGATAATAAGCGAGGAGAGAAAATTGACAAAGTTCGATCAGGTTTGAAACAAACAGAAGAGGGAAGATTCTGAAAGCGCGGAATCGCGCAAAACCGTTTCAACGAGAAAAGAAGAAACGTCGGGTGTCCTCTTTAACGTAGGTTAACGAACATAAGACGCGGCTTTCCTTATCTCGGGTCCAGATCTGAAAAGTAGGAAAGTGCAGTTGGAGGATAAAAGTTATGGCTCTGTGGAGACTTTTTCGTGGATTTCCGGGATCAACGAGGCGCCATCCGCAGAACGTTCACTGGCTCCGATCTCTTTAAGCTCCGACGAGAATCGGCTCGCAAGAAGTCCTCTAACTACCATTCTTCCGAGCTAAGCCAAATCAGATAGCGCGTTTTCGATGGAAACATCGTTGTCGGTTAACGATCGTGGCGCGATCGAAAAATTGCACGATGTTCGCCCGAATTTTGCATTGTTCGTCATTTTTAAAGGGATAAATCGATTATCGTGTCGCGAAGGCGTTATTGCAAAATGTCGTGGTTCGTCGGACGCTTTCAATTTACATAGGCCAACGACAATCGTTCGCCGAATAAATGGGAAAACAGTAGGCCGTTGTTCGACTATCATTTCCGTTTGAGCTGAACGTGAAACGCGACTAAACCCAAAGGTACGAGAACGGGGTTCGATCGAACGGTACCGGCGCGGCCCGTAATTAACGTTCGAGTGACTGTTGCCTCGTTTCCACGGAGTTTCCACGGACTTTCGTCTCGATTTTTGACCCGTGCGTGGTAAAACGTAGGACGTAGTCGATTCGCAAGCCGCTTCGCAAAGTACTACTAGCAAAGATTACGCTGCTTGTAGCGATCGAGACGATCGATGCTAAGAGAAATAGTCGCTCGATCTTTGACACACCCGATTTCTTCTCCGTTTCCAAAACGGGCAGATCAGACGACATTTTCGTATTTTAACTCGCCTCTTATTTTGGTAGATCTGAAACGAACGAAGGGTCCGCGTTTAATCGATGCGACTTCCACTTAGAAGATCCGCCAAGCTTCACGAACGACAAGTGTCCTTGGCGGAGAGCATTTCTAGGTAGTCTAACCTTTCCTACTCTTTCCATGAAGCAAGAATGGTCCCCTGTACGGTGTCGTTGCAGAGAGAAGTTGGACTTGCAACGGGTCAAAATACGCCGTTTCTACGGCGTTCGTAGCACGCGGCGCAGCACGAAACACGAAAGTGTTGATGACTGAAAAGCGCGGTATGCACTTTGTGCTTACTTGGTTACGTCTGCTTTTAGCCTTCATGTTTGCCTTTAAAGCTGTCGAAAATTTACGGCACCTTGGGCTGCGCGCGCGCTCTTTAACAAGGATTTGCGTTTATTACGAAATTCCTCGGCTCTGCGGTTATACACGCTCGTACGAGAGCGGAAGCGAGAAAAAATTTGAAAATGAACCAATTAGAGCGTAAAACACGGAAAAGCTCGGCGACGCACGATCGAGCTCTCGGCGAAGCGACGGAAATACCGGAATAGGAAGTACATAGGGCAGGAACCGTATACGTTTCTTCGATCTACTACTCGCGTTACATCGAAAAGCGCGAATCCTGTCAGAAATAGGTAAACAAATAATTAGACGGACGTGTAGGTTGTGATACGTGATGCGAAAGCGGCTGTTCGAAAGAGCTACTCTGCAAGGAGAGAATTCGACGAGAAATTGATCGAACTCGCAGGTTTTTTTATACGACAAACGAAATAAAACTAAAGTTTTCTAGCACGTCTTCGCAAAGTAGACCTGCCGAAACTTTTCTCCGAAGAAAATCTCGCGAAAAAGAATGATGCTGGTCGGAAAGAGGGGAAAGCTAAACCGAATTAGACTACTAGAGCAGAACGGACTAGGGCATCGAAAAAATGACGAACACCACTCGCTTTGTTCGTTCGTGTTCGCTTTCACGTTTCACGAGTAAGTGACTTTCTTTCCATAAGTTTCGTACTCGAACGCAGTTGGTCTATTCCCCTTTCGCCCCTACTATTTTCATAGTTAGTTTACCTCTCGCAAAATCGGACTTGTCCGAAAATCTCTGCTTAATTACGAATACTACGGCATTCGAATACATAAAGAGTAATTAGAATGTTCCTGTCTCCTTTTAGAATTCTGCAGTTTATCCGCCACCTCGCGATCGCTCTTGCTTTCCCGTTTCCAGCTTTTTCCGTACGCTCTTTCATTCGCTCCTCCGCTTCGTTGCCATTTTCCCAAGACCACCTCCATTTAAATAAATTCCGTTTGCGTCCGAACTCGTTACCGAGTTCGACTATGGACAAGTTACAAATTAGCAGGTACCGTTGATTCTTGGTTCTGTAAAAAATTCAACTTGCAGCCGGAGGTTTCAATGAAATTGAAAAAGATCGTGGAGCGAGGCACCGGTTGAAGATGGCAAAAGGGAAATACCGCTAACAATGCAATCTATTTCTATGAAAGCGAATCGCAAAGATCGCCTCTCTTAATGAGTTCCGCATAAGGATTAAAAACAATAGAGTTATTGTCGCCGTGAGACGCGGATCGTCGAAACGCGCTGCAGCTCCCGTTGATCGAACATCGAAGAAACGAAGGAAGATCTGATATTCATCGAGAAGAATAATCGCGCGACGTCGAGTAGCTTTGATATTTGACTTCCCACAGATATTCCCGACACGATGTTTGGAAATATTTGATCGTTCACTCGAAGCAGGAAGTCAGGGCGAGATCATTCTTGACATCGTCGCTTTCTGAGGAAATCGGGAAAAATCAGAAAGCGGGAAACGGTATCTCGCTTGTAACCTGGGAAAGCTAATTAATCAGATTCGTCGTCCAAGCGAAGTCGTGGATACGCTGATTTGAACGAAAAGCAGAATCGACTGTTCCGCATTCCGTTAAACCAGCGTGTTCGGAGTAAAAACCGGCTGAAAAAATGCGGTAAATGAGACGGCTCGCCAACCTTCGGTTAAAAGGCACGGGCGATATCGTCGCATTTGGCTCCTTTACCAGCGTATTTCCTAGTTGGTGTTTTTTGCCTGGACTCTTCCCCTTGGGGAGCTCCCGTTCCGCCATTCCGACAAACAATTTTCCCTTCGACCATACCACCTCTGCGCCGTTTTGCATTGCTTTCTTTTTCCAATACAGCGCGCACGTAGTCTCACTTTCTCGCTCTCTGGCTCGATTCAAAGTCCATGGACAAAACGGTTACTGGAACCGTACTTGTTGAGCCGCTTAATGGGTCTCAGAGCATCGTGAAAGTTGCTCCTGCAATTTTTCACTCTGCTAAGTCTCCGAAACTCCATTCGATTTCAGACTGCTCGACTTGTTCGAAGTTTGTCGCGTCGGAGCTCGCCGCTCTCCTTTCGACCTCCGCTCTCCGCTGCCAACCCTTGCTTTCGCTATGCGTCCCATTTCCCTGCTTTCTCCTCCCTTACCTCCTGACTTCCTTTTGTCCCTCTACGCTTTACGGCTATGTATATACTCGTTTGGCGCGCATTTCCATCCCATCGCGTCGAGTCGCATCTCCGCGAAGGATACTCCGCGACGCTCGAGCGCGCTCTCGAGGTGCGCTCTCTAGACGCGGATCTTCGATAAAAGGGAATTCACGCAACGCGCGATAGATCCACGGGGAATGCGTCGAGAAATTGCACTCTCTCGCATTTAATTTCAGCTCGTGTTTCTATACACGTCCGTGACGAAAGCACGTTTATTAAGGTTCCAAGCGTACGCACATTTACAGGCGACGGTGTGCGCGAAATCAGGGAACATCTCTTTTATTTGGCGTGGCAATGGCGGGGATCTCTAAATACGAATAACTCAGCAACCAGGAGGGAAAGGAAAGGGTGGCGGGAGGCCGACTGTGCGATTATCTCGTGAAATTGCCTTTCTCCATATTTGCATCCATCGCTTTGATCAAGTTGATTCTATCATTGATATTTTATGTAAATATCGGCCGCAGAAGCTGGTACTCGTAGAAAACTACGAAACTCTGGCGAAGTTGCCACGCGGTCGCACGTGGTGCGATGTCTAGCGAAATTATTCCACCGACCAGATTACGCGAATTTAAAAGAGGATATGTAACGTCGTTGTCGTGGTCACAGCTGCCTAGCCATCGCATTATCGTTGTTCTCGCAATAAAGCGACATTTTACTCTCTTAAATTCGTCTCGCTGCATCTTGCCCGTGATTCGATGGCTATCGTGGTAAAGCTGAAACAGCCGCCGCGGAATTCATAGTATCAACCGATGTCTCTAGACGACGCTTTAACTTAGGACGTCGCTAGATACACGGCGAATTTCGTTACGCCTCTCGGTGTCGCGGTTAAACGCGATCCAGCGAATGAACAGGTTGCGTTAGCGAAGAGTAATCCGCTCGGAGTCGTATAGTGCAAAAGTGTAGCAAATCCGAGTAGAGCTGATGGACGATGCAACGTCGAGCGCGATGCTCGGAGTCCGAGTTGTTAATTTCGCTGGATAACTTCCCGGCAAATATTATCGTCACTGATTCGCCGGTAAAACGCGCGTCTATCAGAGACGCAGCGGTCTGGTACCGAGCGACGTATCGAATTCGCCGCTAATGAAGCTTGCAGCGTCGTATCCCGTGCACCGATGGCTTTTGAATTTGGTCGGACCTCTAATCGAAGAGGAGGGAACCGGCGCGACCGTTTCGTTTACGCGATGGAGATTCGAGGCAGCAGGCAACTGGCTCCCACGGTACGCGCCCTACAAAAACCGACTACCGCGAGTCAGCTCTGATACCGACCAGCAGCGAACATGTTGAAAGCATTAGGAAGTTTCTTGTTACTCTGCCGGCTAGGAATTAGAGGCAATCATTCTCGGCTTAACCGATGCGCGATTCAAACGGTTTTGCCCTGTCCTTTAGCCCACTCTCTCATTTCGCCGAATTAACCGCGCTAATAAGGCCGACATGCTAAAGTCACGTTTATCGAACCGGGTGCGGAAACCCGAAATCAAGAATCGAACCATCCACCGACGCGTTCGATTCTTCGTCTTGGCGGCGTATTTCGACGGTCGTTTGGGTCGATCGAGAATTCGCTGGCAAGCAAAACACGACGTCGCTGGAGGACAGAAATGGCGATAAGGAATGACAAATAGAGCCATGGTACGTGTTGATAGTATGTATATAAATATTCAAAGGCAACGAGCGGTGTTTCCACGGCAGCGGTGTTAATGACTGAAGTCGGTTCGATAAACGGAGCGTCTCGGTCGTCGCGAATTATTCGAACACGCGTGACACAATGGATGTGGGTGTAGGCGGTGAACGGGAACGAGCACTCGCGCACGTGTAACGTAACATTGCGGCAATGATGAGGTAACGAGAAAGATGGTGGAACGAACGAGCCGGAAATAAAGGCCGGACGTTACAGGTCGTCACTGAGGCAGATTATTACGAGACGGATCGAGCGACACGGAACAAAAACAGTCTTGGTAACTGTGTCTGGAAATGTGAAAGGCCTCTTCATTTGATCGTAAAATGCGCACCAAGATGTCTAGGTAGCGTCGAAAGGAAATTGATTATTTTGTTTCCGAAAGCGATCGTAGATAAATTTAGAATGACCGGAAGCGTTTGTATTCTCCTGCAAACTGCAGTCTTTTCTTTCGATTAGAGAAAGGTCTACAGAGCTTTGGGATATTACGCGAATTTTTTTGTCTCTAGGAGATCCATTAATTTTTACGAGCACGTAGCCACGTTGAATTCCTAACGGGATTCCAGGTAAACGAGTCTTTGTCCATTTTCAAATGAAAAGTACCGAATTCATTTTTTAGATTAGTCTTCGACGTCGGTTGGAAATATCGAGTCAAAAAGAGATCGCTGGTCGGTTGGCAATTTTAACGAGCGAAACGAGAAGCAGTTGTAAGGTTACGTAGAGAACACTCGAAAGAGGTTACAAGTTTTCTCCTCTTTGACGGAATTACGGAGACGTATCGAACGTATCTTTCTCCCTTTTCATTTTGATCCTACGTAATTACATTAAGAATTTTACCGGAATTTCTGAATTTCCCTATGCACGGAATCACCTGTGAACCTCCCGTGATCTCTTACTCCGTAAAGAAACACTATTTCATCTTTGCTCTTTGGTCTGGCAATTACTGACAGTTCTTCAACGTTTCTCTCTCTCTCTCTCTCTCTTTTCCTCTCTCTTTCCCTCTTCTTCTAAAACACGCGCATACGGCTACAGCTCTGTTTACGTTTAATTACAATGATTCGTCGAACACTCCAAACGATTCAGGTCGGCCGCACTGTCTTCTCTACGTTTTACCCACCTTTCAAATAACCGATAGTATCAGCTGCGGGATAATATTATGCTCGCAAGAGGCTTTCCGTGTGACTTAATTAAAACCGCGTAAATAACCGGTTCAGCGTATTCCGCGTTGTGACGTTAAAGTTTTAGTTTCTATTTAGCCGACTTTTATTTCAGCCATCGATATTTGCTATCGCCGTGAAAACGATTCGCCTTCTTCGTCCATTTACGAACCAATTTTTCACTCTACGTTCGTATCCAAATCGCTGGTTTAACGCAAACTGCGCGTTACAAAATTAGTTTCGGGTCGTGGCGAGTAGTAGCGGTGCGTCGACACACGTTCTTGTCTAGTTCTTGACCAACTATATCAGTCAAATTGAAGTTCGTTAATAAACGATAAATATAAAAATGTTACGATGCTATGGAAGTAAAAGTAATAATTTTTACCATCATCTATATTCGTTTTTAAAACGTTAATATAAGTAATTGCGATAAAAAAAAAAAAAAATAGAATATTAAACTGACTAACGTAATTAATTAAAGTAGCGGACTTGACAACGTCGCCATTCGTAGCGTTTTGTTTAATGTAAGTTATAAAGCGGAAAGTATTATTAAAAGCAAAATGTAAGGACGGACATATAAGTTCGTTTAACAGATGTTATAACGTTAAATAAATTGTGCTTCGTAAATTGCATAATAATATCTTCGTTAAAAGTATGGTAGTGAAAATTTATTTCAAATATGTACAATACGTCATTGGAAAATTGGATAAAACTGCGACATTTTATTTCTAGAATTCATAATTATCAAAGGAAATTCGTCAAACTCGAGGAAATTACTTAACAAGAATAAGCGAATCAAAGTCGGAATTAATACGACTCAAACCTGCCATAAATTTCAAACAATTGTGCATTTTCTTTTTTGTACATTGATTTATTTTTTTACATAATTAGCATTAAATAAATTAGTGTATTCGAATAAATAATCGCTCGCTATTGATATGTCTAAACATATCTATTGTGCGATATCGCGACGTCGGCTGCTTCGCGTAGCTTCCTAGAAAATTTGCAAGTGAACCTATTTCTTCATTAGCATTCGGGAAAAAACTGTGTGAACAGTTTTACAGAAATTAATAAATTTACTTCGTCGCATTTCGATATAATTTCGTGCCAATTTTGGCACAGTTCTTGAATATATTTTTCCTGTTTCAGGAAGAAGCATAAAATTAAAACCCTCTGTTTCCAAATCCGCTATACGTCACTATGTTAAAACGCACCGTCTATTAACAATTCCTCGATAACTACGTGATAAATCGAGTTCAGAGCTTACGTTAGGGCTTCCTGCGCTCCAAGTTAGTTTCGCTCGAAATTTGAGAATAGTTGTTGAATTTTGAGATTTACCTAAGAACTGCGTTAACTTGATCCTGTCCCATCGATCGACCATCTGGTTACGTAATCGCGAAATTATTGACACGTTCTTGAAAGGCGATTCCTTGCCCCGGAAACGCGTCGGTGCGCTTAGGTCGTGCGGAACCGTTTGCTTTACGAATGAACAAAACCAACGACAGACTGGCGGCGCGATAATTCGCGTTATCTCGATGTCGTTGCGTCCAGCGATCGAGTGCGATATTCGCGACGCGGTCATGAATTGGCAGGTCGCGACGCGGCGCGTACTTCGATCCGCTGTCCTCTTTGCTCTCAACTCCTCGTTGCTCTTAATTTTTTCCTCCCTCTCTGTCTGTCCGGCAATCGAGCGTTCCTGTCGCTCGATCCGTGCTCCGGGTGCCTCTATTTCCGTCTGCAGCTGCCAATCTACGCGCCTGCCACGACTCTACTCTTCTCTTTCTCCCGAGTTGCCTTTCACCGGTCGCCTTTTTCGCCATACGATCGTCCCACCTATTCGCTCTATTTCTCCTCGCATTTGCCACTCTATCGAGTCGCGGTTACCCCTTCTCTCGGAAACG